ACATAGTCCGTGGACTAGCTACTGTTTTGTATCTAGGAAAGGAATATGGGAGGTTAGGGGCTTTTAGGGGCTTATTGTGGGAAAAGGAAAAGAATTAAGAGTTGAAAGATAAGCTTAAAAGGACTGAGGGAATATTTGTTTGGCTGGAGTGAGGAGAGTAAGTGTGGATACTTGCAAAGGTTAGGGCTAAGGACCTGATGACTTGTGATCAGAAAGAGCAGGAGTATGGAGCTACAGAGAACATTATGGAGAACTCTCATTCCAGAAGGTGAAAAAACTAGCTCTTGGAGAAAGGCAGAGGAAAAATCTCCATCCCTCCAAGTCTTGCTGGGTGGATGAGTGATGCTCAAGTCATTAAATCCCTAGCCTGCCCATCTGGGCTCCTGAGCAGGGGGAGTGGGCCTCAGAAGTCCCAGCAGTGTTCTGACAGGCCTGTTTTGGTCCTCCTGCACCCAGCATCCAGAAAGCTTTCCAGAGGGTTAGGGCAGGGTCAAAGAAGTGGGCCAAAAGCAATTAGCTGAGAGGGTTAAAAAAAATTTTTTTTTTCAAACCCTGAGACATCAGACAGGTTGTTCAAGTCCCTCAGACAGGCAGGGGGCTTTTGACCCTATAGCAAATGACAGCAGGGGAAAACAGCAACCAAAATGTTGAAAGTGGTAGACAGTCATTCAGTCAACAATATTTATTGAGTCCCCACTGTGCTCTGAGCTTGGAGCTGGACTGAAGGGTAGATTGGTTGTTGTCTCAGCGTGCTCATCCCACTGCTGCAACAGGACCCAGGCAGGGAGCTGCTAGCCTCTGGCAGGGCTGCACAGCAGGCTTTCCACCTTATGTATAAACGGCTTCTACTCATAAAATAAAGGGGTGGGGGGTGAGGAGAAATCTGGGTTTGTGTTATCAGGGAGTTATAATATAAACAAGCCTAAATGGTTATAATAGCCAGAGGGGGAGAGGGCCCTTTGCCAACTTATAGAGAACATAACAACTGCAGTTAATAAATAATCAAGCTACTCCTGTAAATATTTGCATATAAGGGCTTCAAAAGCTCCAAAGCCCAAGACAGGCCATTTGGGTGATTTGCTTAGAAAGAGAGGGAAAAAAATTGACCTGCTGGTCTGAGGCAGCCATAATAAGAGAGAGTATGGGCAGAAGACCAGAAAGGAAAAGAAAAACCCTCTAAAGTTTAATAAACAAAAAAGAGAATAAAAATAAATCTCCAGAGCTTTTATTTACAAACCTTGATGGAAGGGGAAGATAGAAGCTTATGGTGTGTGGGGTAGGGATGGGTGTGGGGGAAGAATTGTGTTTGTCCATGTGCTGCTGGCCAGTAAGGTTCCTTTGAGAGAAGAGGAGAGGGAGGGGGGAAATAAAAGACAAGACTTGTTTACTTTTCCTGACAACAGGAAACATATTAAATTAGTTCCACTCCTTAAAGATGCTCTTTCAAAGAATGCTTGCAGCTTCTGCTGTCTAACACTGAGAGGCCCCACACTGCACAATAAATGCCACTCCTTCTCTGGGGCAGTTTCTCAAACAAACTTTAGCTAGCGTATATGACATGTCACGTAAGGCCTGAGGCATCGCCCTGCCTCGTCTCTGGCTCCCTGCCTGTTCTCATGGCCTCCTCGTTGCCTGAGCTGGCATGGCTGGGATACGGGCAGAGCAACAAAATGTAGCGGGTAGGAGGAAAGGACCAGAAGGACCAGTGTTACCTAGTCACCTGGATCTGGGTACTGCAAGGTGGGGAGGTCTTTTCAGGCCTTTATAGAATGCTGCATCAGCCTCTCACTAGCTGCCTGATCCTATGTGAATTACTTAACATCCTTACGCCTCGCTCTCCTCATCTGTAAAATGGAAATAATTAAAGCTTCTACCCCACAGGGTTGTTGTGAGGATCAAATGAAATAACATTTGTCAAATAGGAACTAATATATAAATATCTACTCTTACACATACTAAAATATGACCTGGGACCCCCAGACATGAAGTGGCATGACAACAAAACAACAACAATGATAATAATGGAGCAGCTTCCATTTATATAATGCTTTAAGGTTTTGTGTAGTGATTTATAATTATTATTTCATCTGATCCTCAAAACAGCCTGTGAGGTAGGTGCTATTGATTTTCCTCGTTTTGCAGAGAGGAAACTAAGGCAGACAGAAATTAAATGACTCGCATAAGGTTACAAAGCTAGTAAGTGTCTGAGGGCAGATTTGAACTCAGGTCTTCAGACTCCAGGTCTGGCTCTTTGTCCACTGTGTACCCTAGCTGCCCAGGATCACATAGCTAGGATATATCAGAAGTCAAGGTCTTCAAGTCATAAGTCAAATGAGTATCTATCTGTCTGTCTATCTATTTATCTCTCCCTATCTATCAACTCATCTCTTTCTCTCCTTATCTATATATCTCTCCCTCTCCACTTATCTATCCCTTTCTTCTCCTCTCTCTCTTCTCTCTCTCTCTCTCTCTCTCTCTCTCTCTCTCTCTCTCTCTCTCTCTCTCTCTCTCTCTCTCTCTCTCTCCCTCTTTCTATCTACTTATCTGTCTCTATTTATCTACTTATCTATCTCCTCCCTTCTCATCAACCCCTATCTAAATACTCTCCTCCACACATACCTTCCTTTCCCTTCCCCAACCCCTACCTTTTCTAACTACTTGAGAGGTGGCAGGAAATTGAATAGTGAATAGACAACTACTTTGTATCTGGAAGCCTGAAGTTCAGGACTTACACAAGCTAGCTGGGTGATTTTGGACAAATCACTCAACTTTTCAGTGCTTTAGGCAACTGGCTAAGACTCTTTAGTTGCAGAGCAGATTCTAGTCTGCATTGGTAGAATGGATATCCTTATGAGAACCTCCCTGACCTCACAAAGTCCTCTATATAATCAAGTAAACAGTTATTCACTGATTTATTTCCATGCAGACTTATGATTTCATGGGTATACTGAACTTCCAGTTAGGAAACTAATATACATCAGCAACTCAGCTGTAACTTACAGCATTAGAAAGTTGCTTGGGAGCCCTAAGAATTGAAGTGACTTGTCCAAGGTCACATAGCCAGTATGTTTTAGTGGTAGAACCTGGGCCCAGGTCTTCCTGAGGCTGACCTTCCATCTGCTACACCATGCTTGTTCAGTTGTTTTCAATCACGTCTGACTCTTCATGATCCCATTTGGGTTTTCTTGGCAAAGATATTCAAGTGGTTTAGCATTTCCTTCTCTGGCTCACTTTACAGATGAGGAAACTGAGGCAAGCAGGGTTAAGTGACTTGCCCAGAATCACACAGCTAGTAAATTTCTGAAGCCAGGTTTGAACTCAGGAAGATGAGTCTTCCTGACTCCAGGCTAGACACTCTATCCACTGCAACCTGGCTGCCTTTTCTTATTGTGCTTCAGTTTTACGAAGTACTTTTCCTCACTTCATTACATAGAAACCCTGTGAAGCGGGTTATTACACAGTAAGTATATAATAAATATTTTGTTGTTGTTATTAGTTAAGTCTGACTCTTTGTGACCCCATTTGGGGTTTTCTTAGCAAAGATGCTAGAGTGGCTTGCAGCTCCTTTTATGAATGAGGAAACTGAGACCAACAGAGGAAAGTGATTTGCCCAGGGTGACACAGCTAGTCAGTGTCTGAGGCTGGATTTGAACTCAGGAAGTTGAATCTTTCTAACTCTAGCCCCTGCACTCTATTCGCTGAGCCACCTAGCTGTTGTAATAAATATAAAAAGTAATAAGTATTTTTATCTCCATTTTGCTAATGAGGAAATCTGAGACTATAAGAAATTAAGGGGCTTGCTTGAGTTCACAGAGCTAGGTATCTGGATCTTTTTGGAAATTCATATATGTTCAAAAGTTTAAGAAGCAAGTAAGCATCTGTTGAGTTCCCATTATATACAGAGTATTGGTGTAAGTACACTGTGGGGAGTTATAAAAAGAGAACCTATCACCTCTTCCTTAAGGAGAACCTGTAGTCTTAGATCTTAGACTGAATAGGCCACAAAATGATTTCTCTGGACACTGGCCAGATTATCAATATTCCTAACATGTTCACAGAAGTGAAAATAATTCTCCAGATGGGAGCTGACAAGAGTAGAAAGGTTTTGTCTCATTTGTAAACTGGACACATATGCAAAATAATGAAGTAATAGGAGCTAGGTAGAGTTCATAGGGAAAACAGAACCTGAGCTTAAAACGACATTTTATAGAAAGAGGGAGCATGTCTCAGAAGATAGCAGGAAATGTCACCCATGAAATCATAGGTGTGAGATGGAAAGGGTAAAAGGTAGGTAGTGTGGGATAGCTGATGGAGAGCTGAGCTAGGAGTCAGCAAGACTTGGGTTCAAGTCCCAGCGTGGACATATCCTGACTGTATTACTTTAGGCAAATTACTTAACTTCTCATTATCCCAGGCAATTTTCTAATGCTGGGATTCTCAATGTGTGTGTGTGTGTGTGTGTGTGTGTGTGTGTGTGTGTGTGTGTGTGTGTGTGTTTGAGAAAAGACCAAAATACTGAATCAGAAAAAGATGCAATAGGGGCCTGGATAATGTTGAACATTTTGATGCCAAACTTTCGAGGAAAAAAAATACACAGGGCAAACTGCTTGCCATTATGAGCTATTTTCTTGGCACATCCAATTAAAGTGTATGCAGGCCTGACAGCCATCTCCAGCCATCAACTGTGTGCACTGGTTCCAGTTCATAAGCATCTAGGATTTTCCACCATTCTTTCAGCTTTCAAAGGACAGGGTTAACTGCATGCCCTCAAACGGAGTTCAAAATGGTTTGTTAATCTCTATTAATCTGTTATTCCCATAATCAAATGCACATGCTTATTTTTCCTGGTTAAATTGTTAATGGTATTAAATTGGCAATTGGAACCCAAACCAGGCTGCAGATCTTTTCCTTATGATGTCTCTAGGGCTATCTTGTACTGTGGTCTTTTGGGGAGAACAATGAATTTTATCATTCTCAGTGACTTCCTTAACTCTTTACAGATGCCATCCCGCCCACTTTGTACAGGCCCTACTTTAGAATTGTCAGATTTGATGTCTCAGCAATGGAGAAGAATGCTTCCAACTTGGTGAAGGCAGAGTTCAGGGTCTTTCGGCTGCAAATCCTAAGGCCCGGGTGTCTGAGCAACGGATCGAGCTCTATCAGGTAAATTGTCTGGGATAGTTGGGATGATTTGTAACCTATTGGGAGAGGTCTTTCTACAGCTTTAGCTTTTTCACCCAATTTGGCCATCATGACAACTACATAATATAAGAGTGTTTATACCCTCATATGGGGAAGTAGCATAATACAGTAGACTTTAGAGTCAAAGGACTGGAGTTAAAATCCTAGAAATAATACTTTAAAAAAGAATAGAAGAAGAAATAACATTTATTGCCTGTGTGACCTTGGGCAAGTCACTGTTTTCCTCTTTGGTCAAATGAGGGGTTTGGACTGGATGGCCTAATTTGTAATCATATCATGATAGAGATGCCTCATGAATGAATACTCTGGGTGAAAAGCTTTTTCATGATGAAGTCAGCCAAGTGTTTCTGTAGAAAGAGCAGTGGTTTGGGGCTCAGAAGCCTTGGGTCCTAACTCTAACTCTGCTGTTTATTAGCTTTGAATCAGTTAAACTTCGTCTTCTATTTTCCTTAACTTTAAAATGGTAAAAATAATACCTGTCTTGACTACTTTACCAAGTGGTTGGGAGAATCAGATAAGATAACATGTCTTAATATCAAAGTGAAAGTACTTTTTAAGCTGCATAACAATCTATGTGTTTATTATTATTATTATTATTATTATTATTATTATTATTATTATTACTAAATCCCTTGAGAGGACACAACAGATTGATAGACAGTTCTCTGGGTAAAGTAGCTTCCTGCTTCATAATTCCTTTGAAACATAACCGCTAATTTTGGGGTAGTCTCATCCCCAAAGCAGAAGGGACATGGGGAAGGAGTCAGAGAAATAAAAATTACTTGAAGCATATAGAGAGGGCAGTGGCTGGGTCTGTAATGCAATCAATCAATTGATCAATCAAAAAGCATTGATGGAATGCCTGTCTATTGGGGCTGGGGATATAGATACAAAACTGATATAATGCTGCCCTCAAGCAGCTTCCGCTCTACAAGAAAAGCAAAGGGACTGAAAAAGGAGGAAAGATATAGTGGAGAGAGATGAGGAGGGAAGGGAAATGAGGAGGGAGTTTGAGAAATAGCACCAAGAGGGGACAAGGAGATAAAGGGCAAAGGAAATAGTCAGAGAGGGGAAGTAAAGAAGAAAGAAAAGTGGACTAGAAGGGGACAAGGCTTTCTTTTTCTCATAGAGGAATGGAAATCTTCACCACCACCCACTCCCACTTCTGATGCCCTGAAATATATCACTATGTTTCCTTTGGTGACAAAGTTTCTGACAAGAAAATATGTAATTTGAACGCATCCACTTATTACTGGATATTATACTTGTGTATTGTGACCATGCGTGTTATTTTTTTGAACCATTAAAAGTCTACAGAGAAACTATCTTTTGACACAGGGAGGGCTGGCAGAACAGGGCTGGAGTCTTTCATCGGCAGTAAGACAGCTGTTCTGAGGTGTTCTCCCATAAGCTATTTGGCCAGAACTGAAGGTCAGCTGTTCCAGCAGGTGTGTTCTATGATGATGATGGTGATGTAATTAATAATAGTTGACATTTATGTAGCTCTTCAAAGTTGGCAGAGCACTTTCTATGCATGATCTCGTTCAGTACTCACAACAGTCCTTGGAGGAGGAGCACTATTATTATCATCATCATCATCATCACCATTATTATTATTATTACTATTATTCCTCTTTTACCAGTGAAGAAATTAAAATTCAGAAAAGTTCAATGACTGGCCAAAGGGAGAACATAGCTTGTAGGTATCAAAAGCAGGAGTGAAACCAGAGTCTTCCTGACTCTAAGCCCACTATGTTATCCGCCATACCACATCATCTCTCATTATTAAAGCAGAACATGAAGAAAAGGGGGGGGGGCAGCTTATTTTAGTATGCAATAAAACCTCATTTGGCTGCCTTCATTTAAATGGTCACTATCCTTGCTTTATCTATGGGAGAAAAGTTTGTCAAGCAGATTGATTCTGCTTATATGCCAACAGAGTTTGAATACAAACATTTTTCGATCAGTAATTTCCATTCACATCATTGATGTGTTGATTGGAAAAGTTTTCATTTGTTATTAAAGTGGGTCCCAAAGGATCTCTACTTGGCAACATTTTGTAAACCCAGAAGCACTTAGTTCCTGTTAATGTACGTTCTTGAAAATTATAGAATTAAATTTCTTTAAAAATGTTAAAAATCATAAATTCATCCTGATCTCTCCCCCACAATATTCACTAGATATGTCCTCCTTCTTTTCATATTGTTATCTAGGGAAGGAAAAAGAAGAGATATTAGAACAGATAACAAAACTACTCTTGGAAGAAAAAGTAATCACCTTAGAGATTATTTAGTGCACGTCTGCTCTCTCTTCCATTTTATAGATGATGAAAATGGAATTAAGTGAAAGGATGGTTAAATGACTTGCCCAGAATTAAAACTCAGATCTTCTAGTTCCTAGGCTGATGAACATTCCATGACATTATGTGGCCATGAGCAATTACTGTGACAAATGGAGATCTGTATGAATATTGATTGTTGAGATCTGCTTTACTCCTAGCCTTTATTTCAAGTTATTGAGGGTGAATAAATCAACTGAGAATAAGAAAATGAATATAATAGGCTGTCTTTTGGGACAGTGAGTATTCAAGCAAAGGCAGGATGACCATTTACTGGGGATATTATACAAAGATGGGATGCTTGCACCAAGTGAGAGGTTGCATTAGATCAGGGGTGGGGAACCTGCAGCCTTGAGGCTACATGTAGCCCTCTAGGTCCTCAAGTGCAGCCCTTTGATTGAGGCCACGTGTGGCCTCGAGGCCCCAGGATCCCCACCCCTGCACTAGATGGTCTGTCGATCCCCTTTCACTCTTAGATTCTATGATTTTCTGTCTCTGCGAGGGTCTATTCTGGAAGAGCTCAGATATTGCTGGTACTAGTTGATCTTTGTTCTCATTCTACTCTTAAAATTTTTTAAACAGGCCCTTCGAGGCCATCGAGTCCCTTCTCCCCAACAACCCTTTCTTATCTCAGCCTCATTTTACAGATGAAGAAATTACGGCCCATAGAGGTTAAGTGATTTGCCCAAAGGGGCAGAGTAAAGATTCAAACTCGGGTCTTGTGATCCTTATGTCCAACATTCCTTCCATGGCACCATGTTACTAAAGGGAGATTGTCCCCTTAAGGTATGTTGGATCATGGAATCATGGATGTAGAGTGGTGAAGGATCTTAGAGGCCAGCTAGTTCAGTTTTACAGATAAGGAAACCAAGCCCAAGTAGTGGAAGTGGTTTGCTCAGGGTCACACAAGTAGAGTCCAAACTCAAATTCAGGCCCTTTGACTCCAAATCTAACATTCATCCTGTTGCATCATGCTTCCTCTTACAGTTTGGGTTCAAGGTTCTCCCACAACATGTCCCATCATGCCATGATTAGAATTAGAATACGGACCTGGATGGAACCCACATATCATTTCTAATGGCTTTTCATGTTTTTCTTCAAAGTAATTGATCACTTAAATAATGCTATTTTACCAGGGCTACACAGGAACTGTTGTCTCTCACTCCCTATGAGAGAGACCTTAGGAGCTGAAGCTTCTATTTGAAAGACACATTTGGTTTGGCAGAGGACCTTGGAACTTCGATTCTGCTCTCTCAGCTCTCCTGTAGAATTCTCTGTCATCACTCAGGAGGAAGGGAAGATCCCAGGGCTGTCTTTCTTTGCCCCCTGCGATGCTAATCATTGCCAAAGAGCATACATTTATTTGATCCCGGTATGATTTCAAATGTACACCAAGATTTGGGACAATATTAGAGGGATAAAATCTTTATACAGAGGGAAAGAAAAAAACAACATTAAGTAAGAAAGTTTTGCCAGCTATGAATAGCCCTAGCAATGTTTTTAAAGATTTATGCCAAATGCAACCTTTATTGGAATTTGATCAGATAAAGCTCCAATGATTTGGGAATGCCTTTGAACCTACGGTATTTATCATAACTCTTGGCCACTTTGGACATTCAAGTACATCTTTCTTTGATTAAGTTGCTCCTGTATTTGTGATTAAATCTCTTCCAGAATCATGAGTTTGGGAAAGGGAAATGGGAAAAGAGAATCCCCTTCTGAAGGAACATTCCAGAAACAAGCCAGGGGCACCATCCTAGAGGAGGGGAAACTCGGGGGCAACCAGTTAGCTTGTCTGTATACCATAAGAACTGGATCAGAGCCACCATCTAACCAGTTCAGTGGCACCATGGAAACACTGTAGTGCTAAAACCAGAGAAACGACTCTTAGGGTTGAAGGAAACCTAGAGATCATCTAGTTAAACCATTTCATTTTACAGATGAGGAAACTGAGGCCCATAGAGGTCAAGCAATTTGCCCAGGATCATACAAAGACTTTAATTAGAGAACCAGGACTAGAAGGATAATAATAACAATAATAACTAACATTTACATAGTGTTGTAATATCTGGAAGGTACTTCAGACATATATAACTTAATCTTTATTATTACCTTGTGAGATAGGTGCTGCTATTCTTCCCATTTTATAGGTAAAGACACTGGAGCCAAGAGGGGTTAAATGACGTGCTCAGTGGGGTTCAAACTCTGACTCCCAAGTCCAGTTCTCTTTTCCCTATTATGCCACCCCTATGCAACTATAGAGTTGGCATCCATGGCTGGGTCTATTCTCTATAATAATGACCTCAGAGGATTTTCTGTGTCCTGGATACAATCATAATAACAATAATAGTAGATATCCTTAATTTCCTCTTAATAGCCATTAGCAGTTTGTATCCAGCAAAATATCCAAACCCATCTTGAAGCTGTTGGTCATTTGTAGCTTTTACCACATATCAGAATTAAAAATTTTATATATTTACAACCCAATCTATCAAATGGTAAAGTATAACTTCCTACATTTGATGGATCAGGACCAGGCACAGTCCTAATACATTCACAGTTTAAACTACAGAGAGGCCATAATTGCCTCAGAATCCTTCCTTGTTTGGGAGAAGAGGTGCTA